ATATATTGATGTCAATTTTTATATTTAATATGCAGAATGACTTTCATCAGTACGTCTCTTAGAATCTAGATAGTTCGGTCCAATTGACACCTGAACTGTCCACCCACATTTGGAAAGAAAAAGTGGTGGGGGGACACACAAGGGTAGATGATATGGTCTAGGATCTCGAAACGATGTAAGAAGACTACAGTTAGGCTAGAAGGTATTGGATTGTCAAGTCAAGCCGAGGCATTTGATGGTGTTCAGATTGCTGCTATGTCGACTCAAATAGCACAACTTACATCGGCACTGGCAGAGTCGAAGCGGAGAAGAGAAGCTGAACAACGAAGCATGAGCGAGACCGTTCAACAAATCACAGAACAAGTGATGAACCTCGATCGTCGACCTACTACTTCGCCTCCCGATCACACCGACTACGACAGTGATGATGAGGATGATCTGATTATGTAGATCTCACTCCCTAGTTTAGATCTCTGGACATTTATGAATTTTTTGAAATTTTGAAACGAATTTTGAAAGACTTTATAAGTCTTTAAATTTTGATTTAAATACTTTTGAATGTTATTTTAAACTTGTTGTTTCATGTTTTGTGTAGATTGTTTATAATTGTGTGTGTTTGATTGGGCTGAATAGTGTAGAATTGAATTAAATTAAATTAAATTGAATTTGCAGGTGGGCATCAGAAACTGGCTGAAACTGTCAGTTTCTGGTGTCAAAAAAATTACAAAAAAAGCGACGAATAGCGTGGTTTTGTCCGTCGCTTTTCTGGATTTTACAAAAAAATAATTCCAGAAAAGCGACGGATAGGGTCCTTTTGTCCGTCGCTTTTCTGGGATTTTCAAAAATAAAATATCCACAAAAGCGACGGACTGCATCGCATTTTGGAAATTAAAAAAAATTAAAATTAAAATATAGCGATGAAGTCCGTCGCTTTTGTTAAAAAAAAATCTAAAAAAAAGAAGTAAAAAAGCGACGCAGTCCGTTGCTTTTTGAAAGCGTCGAGCTAAAAAGCGATGAAAGTGACTGCGTCGCTTTTCCTTCGATTTTGACCAAAAAACGACGCAGTCCATCGCTTTTTGCCGTCGTTTTTTTGGCAATTTTTTAGTAGTGTAATTATATGTGATCATGTTCTAAACTTGGAAGGGCTTCACCTCTCAATGAACTCCCTAGATGGAGTTATTCCACCAAACCTAGAACTCCCTAGATGGACAAATGCAGAAAGCTTCAAGTCTGGGCATTGTCATTCAATGAGTTTATTGGAACTTTACCAAGAGAGCTAGCGAACTTAACTGAAGGGCATCATTCCGCAGGAATTTGGTAGTCTTACTGGAATGACAAAGATTAGTCTGTTTAACAATGAGTTGAATGAACATATTCCTAATGACAAAGAATCTTACCTACAAAGCCACAAAATAGAAGGAATCATACCAGAGGTTATATATAGTTTAAAGAATCTTGGCGCATTAGACTTGTCAAGAAATAAGTTTTCCGGTTCGGTGCCACCATGCTTAGGGAATATCACTAGTTTGAGAAAACTTTATCTAACTCACAACAGGCTGAATTCAAGATTACCCGCAAGCTTGGGGAACTTTCAAGATCTCATAGAATTCAATGTTTCCTCCAATTTATTGAGTGGGCAAATTCCACAGGAGAGCGGAAATTTAAAGGCTGCAACACTCATTGATTTGTCAAGAAATTATTTTTCTGGTAAGATTCCTAGCACTCTAGGGGGTCTAGATAAACTGATTAATCTTTCCCACTACAACAAATTAGATTATGAGGGACAAATAATTTCGTCATCTATAAATCATGTTTCGTCACTAAAAATTTTGTGTGACGAAAAAAAATCGTCAATCAGTCGGTACTACACGTGTGTCACTAAAAGTATACAAAGACGATTTAGTGCTTCGTCGCTAAAACTAATATATTAACTACAAAAAGAAAAATCGTCCCCAAATGCATAAACATTTGTGACGAATTTATTTGTCATAAAAAGTGTAACTTTTTTTGTAGTTAATAGTATGTGTTGTCACTAAAAAGGTTATTACTACCGACAAAACTATATCGTCGCTAATTATTTAGTTCAATCAGGGACGACATCAATTGTCTCTAAAGTTATATGTATTTCGTAGTTGAAAAAATATAATATCGTCAATAAAGACTATATTTTATATACAAATTTTTTTTTGTCATTAAATGTATAAATTAGGGACAAATTTATTATTATAAAAAAGGTTAATAATTTTGTGATTAAATTTATCATTTTGTCACTAAAAGTGTTGCTTTTACTGACGACATATATTGTCACTAAATATTATCATAAGTAGTGACAATTACAATTATCACAAAATAAAAAAATTATTCATATTCAACAAAAAAAGGGTACTACGACAATACATTTTTTGTCACTGAAAGTAATCAAGTTGTGATGAATTAATTTATTTAATGACAAAAATATTTGTATCAAAATTCACCCATGATCATATAATAAAAATAACTAAAATTATACTAAAGAATAATATCTCATTACAAACTCCTTAAAATAAAAGTAAAAATATGTCCAATGACAAGAAAAATCTAACTAAAAATATATCAAAATATTACTCCTAAACAAAGACATATAAGTAAAAATTCCTTCCAAAGTATCAATAATGTGGTGACACATAGCTTGCAATCAATCTTGCTTCAATTCTCACCTTTTATACATGTAAAAAGAAAGAGAAAATAAAATAAATATTTAAATTGAGATATTCATATTAGAGTCAAAAGTAAAATATGTAACACAATTTGTCTTTCATATGTTGTAATGCCCAGTTTTATAAGTAATTTTTAATTTACAATATAAATTTTATCATTACAAATTTAACATAAGTGAAAGTTTATGAAGTATATCATCACAAACTACTCTATATGGCAACATAAACTCATCATTCATGAAACTGCTAACTATTAAAACATAATGTAAAAACTACAATCCAGTAAAATTATAAGTGCAAAATGAACAAAAGAACATAAAACCATAAAAACAATATCAAGTTCATATCTTTAACAATTGGTCTCCTAAATAAAGAAAAAATAAAAAAGAAGACTAAGTTGTGATTAGGCCTTATATGGTATAGTCTCTGGTCAATTACTGAACCACAGAGTGTGAAAAATGATAATAAAACATAGCCAATAAAAGTTAGATCTACATATTCATTAAAGATCAACTAGTGATTATGTGAATATAGGGTTAAAGAATATGAAATACAAAGAAAAGACCTTTCTTGTTGATTTCTTTTCAATTTTTGTTTTCATTTCTCTCTCTATATATTTGTTTTAAAGTTGAACGTGGGAGATGAGAAAGGAAAGGAAGATGAAGAAGATAAAAAAGAAAAAAAGGAAGATTTTTTTCTCTTTTCTGTATTAGTGTGATTGAACCACCTGAAAAGAAAGTTTTTTTTTGTGTTTCCTATTTTGATTCTTTTAATTTTTTTCCTTTTTAAAATTAATTAATTGTCTTGGAAGATAAAAAAAAGAACCATCAAAATCGATGATTGAAAACTAGCATTGCAAATTGTCATGGGGTCCACCTTATAAGATACTAGAAAAAATATATAAAAACAATTACACTTCCACTATTTATTGATAATTGATGCTCTATTGTTAAAGTAAAAATTAAGCAAGTGTAAAACTTATAATGTAGCAATACTTTTCATTTCAAATTGATAGTCTTACTTTTAAAAAATATTTCTCACTTTTTTAGCAACCTTTTAACTTTTTTAAAGTCACAAAAATTAAAGATTTATCTATATATCTTATCGAAATGAGAATCAGATATACGTAATTTATGAAGCTTCAAATATGAAATAAGAGGGTCTTTTTTTTATGTTTTTCATATAAATAAAAAATATTTTCAAAAATTTTAAGTTTGGCGAACTTTCTAACTCTTAGGCATATTTTGTGAAAATACAGTTTAAAAAATATAGAATCTAAATCATTCAAGAATGTGTGTAACTTTCTTTTAAAACTGAAACTGTTATGAGATTTTGAATTACAATAGATTTTCTATTTAGTTATTTCTTGATTATTTAAAA